CATCGATGAATTAATTCGCCCTATTGGATCTCTTTTTCTCTGTGCTCTCCCTGACCGCGTCGCTTCAAAGGTGCAATTTGGCTTCTTTTACCGACCCCATAATGGCAATGTATTATGACAATTTGGCAAATATGATCAGAGATGTGGCAAATTGTTCAAACATTAAAAAAAATTACGAAGCGTTATTTTGGTAAACTGGCTTTTTTCTAGGTTAGGTTTTCGAGCGTTTTATTTCCTGAGGACTCGTTTTAGTTTATAAAAGGAGAGATGATGGGTAGTTTTTGTTCCCATAGTGAGTGTCATACGATTAGGAATATTCACATCATTTTTTGTGCAATTTTTTCGCTTCTTCATCTCACCTAATGATAACTGCGATATCGACGCATTAAGTTGATGTTAGTAATGGTCATATTATGATGATTTTTGTTTGAATGATTTCAGTTCATTGTATTGATATTCATCGACAGATATGACGGATCAGTCGCCAAAAGTGGGTAAAAAAATTAAATCGGGTAAGTCCGGCAAGAACAAATCGAGTAAGTCTGGCAAGAGCGGTTTCAAACAATTACAGTCGGTTGGTTTTATAACAATTATAATAATATAATAAGTGAAATATTATTCTATGTTCTTTAAAATTACTCTCAGATATAGGTTGATGTGTTGCTTAGATCAAAATACCTTTATTTTTAGACAATCTACAAGCCGTTTATTTTCAGACAGCTTCTACGAGATTGAGCGACAGTAAAACCAAGAAAATGATGTCGAAAACCCGCAAAGAGGTATCAACGAAAGTGGATCGATGTGAACTGCCAACTGCTGATTCATCAATTGATTCAAAACGACGGAAAATTGACGACGGAGAAACATCACCAAAGAAAAAGAAACGAGGAATTGGTTCAGCGACAGCGCGGGTGAGAACCTTCATGTTTATCCCGCATTATTAGTGTTGCTTCTTTTTGCAACACTGTCACCTTTTCATTGCATCAATTTTTAAAATAACCATTACTTTTGCGAATTTTGATCTGCGAAACTTCTTTCCGATGATAATGATTGGAGCTATTCTTAAACTGTTTCACTTTCAGGTATCGTCATTATCATCAAAACCAACGACCTCAACGCAGAAAACATTGGCCAGTGATATGAGTGAAACGCAAACAAGCGAAGTTGCTGATGGACAGATCAAAGAAACGATGATGTTGTTCGATGTTCGCGCTTGACTTTACATAACCACCTTCCATTGTATCTGTGTTCGAATTGAACTTCATTATCGTTTCATGAAAACAGTATATTCGCCGTCATCAAAACATCATTTTTGAATGTAGAATTCGTTCCAAACAGTTCCTTCTAATGCTTTATTTTTATTGGTGGTGTAATATTTTGCTCGACTTTTAGTCAGAGGATAAAACAGATGAGAGTGATGAAGAGGAAGGTAGTGATTCGGCTGAATTTGAAGCAGTTGATTTGAATCATTTAGAAGGTTAGTTATCTTGTTGTTTTGGGATGATATCTCTAGAAAAATAGAATGAAATCAGATTATTGTTTTCATTAAAGCTTCAAAGTAGGAAATATTTAAAATACTGAATCAGTCTTTCAGGAAGTGAGAGTGATAGTGATGATGATGATGATTTTTCGTCGGATCAAGACACTCTTCCAGTTGAGAGAAAGGCAATGAAGCTTGAGCGAAAAGCCGTTCAAACTAAGTTCGTTTTTAGAAAATATAATTAAGTTGATCAAATTAATACATGATTATGATTATTTTAAAATTGCTTTCGATCGTCGTGCCAACTATGAACCACTTAATTGTTTGCATTGGTTAGGTTGAAAATGTTTTGACGCTGTTGTTATTTCTAAAGATATAATTATAAGAGTGAAGTTTATTGAATTGTTTACCTTATTTAGGAAACTAGCTGACGAGGAGGAATTGCAATTGAACTTAACGAATGTGGATTCATATAAACTGCCATCAATTGAAGATGTTGAGAGAGAACTGAAAGAAGCACCAAATCTACAGATCATCAAACAACGTATAACTGATGTGATTCAAGTATTAGGTGATTTCAAGAAAAGACGCCAGCAAGATCGGTTCGGTTTTATGTGTTACTTGCTATCTTAATGATATCGTATTTTCTAACTCTGTCATTCAATTCTTGATTGCTTATTATTGCTGTTATTTTTTCGAACTTCAGCTGATTCAATTTCATGCATCATGATTCCAAAATACAACTTTATTGCTTTTAGGAGTCGAGAGGAATATATGACCATATTGTTAAAAGATTTGTGCAAGTATTACGGTTACAACGATTATCTGATGGGAAAGTTTATGAATTTATTTCCCAATGGTTCTGAGGTATTTATTTGTCTTTTTTCAACCGCATTATTATGCAGGTTTGTTGACGTTATTATTGAAATTAGTTTTAGTTGATGGAATTTCTGGACGCAAACGACCAGCCACGTCCGGTAACAATACGTACGAACTCATTGAAAACACGTCGTGGTCAACTGGCTAAAATGTTGATTAATCGGTTTGTTAATTTAGTCGGAATTATTCGATTCACAGAAACATTCTAATTATCACTCCAGTACGTAAAAGTTAACAACAAGGAATTTAATTCACACACTGCGACTGTTCTAAATTGATAAACACGGCAGCGGTTTGCATGAAATTATCTCGATATTATTCATCACAGAGGAGTGAGTGATGCAGTAAATTTGAATGCAATACGCATGTGAATTTCAGTGGAATGAATGTTGATCCAGCAGCCAAGTGGACCAAAGTTGGTTTGGTCGTCTACGATTCGCAAGTTCCTGTCGGTACGTTTTCTTTCATTCTATTTCAGTTACAGCGATTGGTTTCGTTTTAATCACGTTATGAAATGGTTCAACTATACCCGATGGTAATTGCTTCCATGTAGCTTTTGTTTTCATTTTGATTCCAATTGCGATTTAAGGAGCAACACCGGAGTATCTTGCTGGTCATTACATGATTCAAGGAATGAGTTCATTTCTACCAGTGATGGCACTTTCACCACAGCCAAATGAATTAGTGTTGGATATGTGTGCCGCACCTGGTGGTAAAACATCGCATATTGCTGCACTTATGAAAAATACTGGTGTTGTTTTTGCGAATGATTTAGACGTAATTCCATTCGTTATGCTTTTTCTCTTTTTCCTTTCAAAAATTTAAACTCACATTCTTATTGTGCTCTTTGTGGTCAGATATTACACTTTTTCACTTAAATATGAGCAAAGTTCTGCTTGAATTACTATTCGTTTTTGAATAACGAAGATTTGAAGATGCCACGATGTCGTGCAGTGATCGGGAACTTGCATCGATTAGGCGTGAACAATTGTGTTGTTAGTAATGTGGACGCCAAAGAATACGCTAAAATAATGGCTCAGGGTAAGTCAGTTGTACTTTTTGAGAGCATTATCGAATATAAAACCGGTATTGAAGGATTTGATCGAGTGCTTTTGGATGCACCATGCTCGGGTACAGGTGTCATATGGAAAGACGAGTCTGTAAAGATGCGTCGTGACAGTCAAGATGTTCAACGAAGACATACCCTTCAGAGACAACTGATATTGGCTGCTATTGATGCGATTAATGCGAAGTCATCAACTGGTGGTTATTTGGTTTATTCAACATGCTCTGTTTTGGTTCGTCCTTTTATTCATGCTCAAAGTGTTTTCATTTTTTTGGCGATCTCAACTTCAAAATTTTTTACTTGTTGAGATTTTTTATTCTGTTGCATGATAAGACGAATTGGATTAAAATATTGTTGTGCAAAATTTTGAATTCGAATCGTTATTGAGCCCAGAATGCGCACTTCGTTCTGTGTGTTATGCCATTCTGTCACCGGATCTAATATCAGTTGCCCCATTCGCGAATGGGTTGTGTGAATTGTGCAATCCAGTAGTCAGTCTCATATTAATTAATTAATAGTTTTTAGGTTGAAGAAAACGAAGCTGTTGTCGACTATGCTTTGAGAAAGCGTGATTGCAAACTTGTTTCAACTGGTTTGGAAATCGGTGTTGAAGGATTCACAAAGTTAGTACTTTAATAAATATGTCATTGAAATTGAAAAGTGTTGCTATCAGAATAGTTGCTGAGAGATTGTCATTGTGTTGTAGCATAGTGGTGTGTTCGGGATTGCATTTTTCTGCATATCAGTTTTTAACTTAGCATTTGTTTAGCTTGAACTTTTGTTTGTAAACAGCTTTTTTGTGAACTTTTATCTACGGTATAATTTTTAGGTATCGCGAATATCGGTTTCATCCGTCATTGAATCTGACTCGACGTTATTATCCACACGTTCACAATATCGATGGGTTCTTTGTTGCAAAAATCAAAAAGCTTTCAAACGAGAAGCATGCAAAGGTTTGTCGTTCCGTACTGTTCACATCTGCTTCAATTGTTCAATTAGCATTTTGTTTCTGTCGTCAAAGGCAATGATTTTTTATTGTTTTTTTTCGCATTACGTTTAAAACTGGATGGAACGTTTTAACTGGATATTTTAAAATTGGATAGGACATTTTCTTTGACTTGATAAAATTTATAGAATGACCAAAAAGGAGATATTGATCTCAATGAAGTGGATGAAAGCGCAATGGAGGTGGAAGAGAAAGGTGTTAAGCGCGGTAAGAAGAATAATCGAAGACATTCCAATACAAATGATGATGAGATGGATTATGAAGAAGGTACTGAGCTGTTACAACATGATCAATTAATTATTGTACTTTGTGCTGGTTGAAATCGATATGACGCAAATTTGAATTTTTGATATCAATTGCTTATTACTGCTTGCAGAGTCTGGCACTGGGGCTGTTGATGGTGATAAAACAACAAACAATTCAACAAAGGAAGCACCGAAAAAGCATTTGAAAAGAGTATCTTTATCACTTCGTTTTTATTCAAAATTGATCCAATTCGTTGTTGTTTTTTTTGATTCATCCATCTTTAGAGTTAGTTTGCGTGTGTTGGAATTAAAACGCTTGTCTTTGTTGGGTTTATCGAAATTTGTTTTTTGTAGTTGTTGAAAGAAAACAATTTATTTCAGAAATCTGGTGAAAAGCAGCACGCTAAACAATTTGATAAGCCCAAACCAAATGGAAGCAATAAATCGATGAAGGCAAAAAAGAAAAACTTGAAAACAGCGAAGCCTTCCTCAATGAAGCCTAAAATCGCAAAAAAGACTAAGGGCAACAAAAAGCGTGCTTGAGGAGTACTGCGTGCTTATTTTTGATTGTTTTAAAATGATGAGAAAAGTTGATTTAATGAATTTGTTGGTATTGTTACTTCTGTTATCGTTACAGTTTCTTTGTTGTTGACTTTGTTGTTGCTACTGTTATTATTGTTATAATACTGTTGTTTCAAATAAATCTATGTTTTTCATGCCATTGCTCAGTTAATCAACCGTTTAGAACTAAGAATCGATGATACTCCCTAATCCAATTCAGATGTTCTGTTCTGAGACATGAAACGAACCAGAACAGTTCAAAAGTTTCTGGCGACAAGAATAGAGCGTAACGGTACAGATTCCTATGACTGGAACAGAACAGTTGGGTTTTACATGCAAAAGTACAATGTGGAACAGTGGCACTTTAAAAGTAATGTGCTGTTAAGTTTTGAACTTCGTGTTGATCTTGAAAACTGGCCTACAATATCTTGTATAAGCTACCAACTTCAGTTTGCTAATCTGTGTAAATCACCCGTGCATTGAAGGTGATCCGGATGCAATTTGTCCTCCTGTAAGCCTCGGCGTGAATGTGAACCTAAGAATAATCCGAAGTGCACCAAAATAAAAATAAATCCTCGTAACTTTCGACCTTTCAGAATGCTGCTCTTTAGATTCAGATCTTCAAGCACTTCTGAACCGTACGTATGTTTTGCAATTCCGTTCAGAATTCATTCCAAGATTGCACTTATTCAATGCTGCACAACAAGTAATACGACGAGTGATCATCATAACGATTAAGATGACAATACTGGGCGTGACAAAGCAACAGTCTGATAACGCCCCGGGCGACCTTGATGGCGTTGAGCGTTTCACGCCATGGGTGCCCATCGATGATTTTCAAAGTGGTTTCGATTACTGATCTTAAAATGTAATAATCATTCTGATTAGTGTCGCTTCATTGATTTATTTCCAAAATGGCCAACGTACGACTCAAGACAAGCGGCTACATCTAATTTCACTTTCCGATTCAATTTTTTCAGTTCGTCGATTCGAATGCACATTTCATGCTATTATCACCACCAACTGGGTATTGCGATATTTACATGTACTCTGTGATCATTTATGAATACATTGCACAGCAGTGATTTCGTTGACAGTTGATTGTGGTTATTTTATGCATTACAATACAATAGTTATTGTGTTACATTCGAAGTGATTTCTTATAGAATAATTAACTGATTATGAGTGGTAATTATCACTAAGCATCGAATAAAACCATTTCATGTTTACTGATTTTATTCATGTCCTTTGTATAATTTGATCGTTTCACTAAAACCGATCTCTTTCAATTATAACTAGGATTAATATGTGCTATCTCAAAGTTCTAATATCGCGAGTTTGTTCCGAGCCCAGTGGGCACAAAGAAATCCCTTCACTTCTAATCAGGTTTTTAATCAACTTTTCCAACCCCCCCCCCCCCCTCTCCCCTCTTTTCGAATGCAATCGAAATAATTCGCGCACTGTTCATATGTTAAATTTGAGTGAAAATGCAATAATTTCTTACGAGTTGAAAGGTATTTTATGAAAATATACAAAGTCAATTTCTTCTTCTTAATCAGCACTTTCAAAGATTGTTCACAAAATGTCTTTCAAACGCCAACACTGTTAAAGTTCGATAACGGAGAGAATGGCATGCATGCATCGAATAACAATGGTTAGGTTGACCCATCTTCAATTAATTACCGAACAACGTGTTTTGAATTACTGCTGTCGATCGCTCGCGATGTAAAACCACATTCCATTAGCGACGTTCAACTCTCTTTCGAACAGTTCAATGAATATTTGTTCGTATAATATTTATACGACCTGATTGCAGCGTACACATATCCATCTAACAAAATATTCATGCAGTTTCATTAGGAAGAGTCGAAAAAATATTTTCTATCTGAGCAAGATGGAATAGTCTCATCCTTTGAAGTAAATATTCAAAGATTCAACCGTATGAGAGGGAAACGAGCACTTGAGAAAATAACTGAACCTATGATGCAATAGAGAGAATCAAGCATTTTCTTTTCACTGTTAATCACTTCTGATCATAATTCTATTGCTCGCCTTCAGTCATTGACTGTACAATTTTTCTAATTAACTTCGTGACAAACGCGCTCACAGTTGTCCACTTCAGAACCGTTATTGTTATTGTTGAATTGTACAATAGCGCGCATAAACGTTTCAAAGCAGATATATATCTACGTTTAAAAATGCCTATTGCTCGCATCATTTCATCTGAATGCAATTCATTCACATTGTACACATACTTGATTCCTCTTATTTATACATTTTTGAACTATTTTCAACAGCAATCGTCGACAAAATCGCCAGAATGCTTGCGAAATCAAAGGTGAATTGAAAACTCGGATAAGAGAGTCATTTAGAAACGTACTCATGCTGGCGGTTTCCAAATTAGAAAGTTCCACTTTCCTAGGACACTCACTCCTCACCCAAATCTTTCGCACATTCATTTGCTTTTATCGTGTACTTTTATCATGTACCGATCACCAGCCAGGTCATTCATTACACTATGACAAAAAAAAACTTTTCTTCATTCCATCAAACACTCATCAGATTTCAATTTCACTTGTCGTTCCTCGCTTCCTACTTCACAAAACCATCCAAATTCTTCTTTTCAATTGTAATTCTTCTTTCATATTCTCTCCTAAGTCTTTCCTTCGACATTCAATTCTACTTAAACATATTTTCTTTATAACTTTTATTCCGCTTATTTGTTAAAAACGTACACTTTTAAAGAATGAAGCTTATTGCTTGATGGCGTCAAGTAACAGACATACGGAAGTTTTCAAGTCACTCTCTCAAAAGATACACGACCTTTTAACTTCGGTTTAAGGTTAGCATTAGATCTAATGGTGGGACTCTGACCACTAAAAAATTCATAATGAGACTAGTTTGTAACTGCAGTTGTGAAGTGCGATCCTACTGTAGAAGAAAAGGAACATTTTTAAGTTATATTGAAAAAATTTATACAGCTCTTCTTATTGTTAGTTGTGAATCAGTTTCTGTCTCTTTTGCCAAGAAGTTTTTTGCTATTTCAAGTTTGACAGAGGCTATCATTTCATTTCGAAATGGAATGAGTAATGTTATGGAATAGAATGTGGGATGAATATCGGCTCAATATTGATGCTTTCTATCAGATTATCTATTATCGTAGTTGGTGAATTTGTTGCAAGATCAAACATTTGGTAAGAGATCGATCGTGTTGTTGTATACGCAATTGAGCGATGAACATGTTTGTGTTGAGTATCATGTTCGGTCGCAATGAAGAGTTAAGTGCAAGCGATGACATCGAACAAAATGTCGTATATTTCAGATAAGGCAGACAATAAAGAAGCGAATTCGGATTCAAGTTAAGCCGAGGTGACTCGGGATCGTGGCATTGTTCGCATTCTGATGTCGGTATGCGCGAGCTTATGCCAAATAGCATCTCCGTCGGGTAGTTCCATGGATGACTCGAGCATATATGATTCGGGTACTGTCTCTAGTATGGACTCATTGTTGGGACCGGAGCGTATGCATCCGGACTTTCGCATTCGACAGCGTCTTGAAGCCTCTCGACAGGGAATGCTTCAACTTGATCTCCTCAGAACAAAACATCAAAGATTAATGCAGGCTAGTGATATGATCTTCTAACTCTGGTTGGCATTTTTGGATAAATCAAGGGTATATTTATGGATTTTATTTCGTTAGCATCGCAGAATCTATTTCACTGATCTAAACTCATTTTCAATGCAGCAGCAAGGAGTTTGATGAGCCGGAATACAAATTTTATGCAGTTTCTCAAATGACTGTTATTCCAATTTATAAGATGCAGCGTTCTGAACTAATTGATTTCACGATGAGAATAATTCTGAGAGTATTTGATACACTTTTGACGACAGTATTTGAAGTCATGATGAATTGTTCATCGATCACGTTATCTTTTCATTGTACTTCGTTTTAATAAATGTTAATACCGTCACGTAAATCGTCTATCTGTGTTGCAGTCTGATCATAGAGATAGATACAGCGTTCGCATTTTCTTTCATCACGATAATCAGTTTTGATTATCTTTACGACTTTGAAGCATTTTATAGTTCACACCTACAGTTCAACGGTGTGTGGCACACAAACACTAATTTCATCAACAACCTTCTGCAAGCACACACTTTAGAAAAAAATTAATTGAAATGAAAATTTCTAGCGTGAAAATGAAGAGCCATTGCAGTATAATTCTACGGTGCATTGCTTTCGTCATCCACCTGTATTCTCAAGCAAATAAAATCGGATTTTCATTTTCTTATTTTCATTTGTTTCAGCTAACAAAAGAATTCTTGTAGGATATGCGACATCGCCTATCGCAATTTGATGATGGTAGCGAAGTAAGGAGTCGACCGAAACGAACAGTGCACGGAACTATACCTTTGAATACAGTCACACCTAGTGAGGTACGTAGGGTTTTGCTGCAAAAGGAATCAATGCGTTTGAGGAAGTTGAATGTATCATTGGTTATTCATTCGTTACCAAAAAATGAATTTTTGGCTCATCAACTTCTAGAGTAAAATCGACTTCGAGGAAGTGGAACAGCGATTAAATTTCATGATAATCGCTTGAAAAGATTGGCAGATTAATGAAGATCAAGAAAGAGAAATTGTTAGTTGAATCAGCAGTATATGAGGTTGTGTTGATGCACACTCCATTGAATTGAATTAACAATTCAAAGAATTTCAAAACTGGCATTGTCATCATGTCTGACGACCCGATTATTATCATTATAACATGAAACTGACCGAGTGATGTTGATTAGTTGATGTGAGAAAGCGATACTCGATAGTTCTACAGTGAACACTTATACCGCGCGATTTTATCTACTATTATTGCTATATCAGTATCAATTAGTTGACATCGATATACACATCATAATGATGAAAAAATCATAAGCTTCCCACACAACAATCATATCCCCATAAATATCGTGTTTCTTGACAGCATCCCCCATCGGTCTGAATGGATACCTAGTATAGTTGAATGAATATTCCAGACTTTAGAACATTCCCCTCTACATGTCCCGCCCAAACATTCTCACTCTCAGTTCGTCCATAAGTTCGAAAGTTTCATCGTAAATGTAATTTCCGAGGATGGAAACGGACCTCCTCACTAATCTGAACGAGCACAGATACCAACACATGCATCCAGTAACTTCAGGCACTTGCTTATTTTTTATGCATTCACCAGTTGTTTTAATACCCTAAACATTTTGTGAAAACCACACTCATCTTCTTAATAAACTCCACATCTTGAATGAGTCTATCTCTCCAATAACTTGGCAAGAATCCCTTTGGATTCTTATTCAACGAATTGAGGTAAGTACTCATAATTATAGTTGGTTTACAGTCACGAGTATTTTACTATATACAGCAGCTGAATATGATGAATTTACACGACGTAATAATTAAGATAAATAAGGCGTTCTGTTTTTTATCATAAATTCATATGAAATATTCTATACAAGTCAATTTGAAAGTCATTATGAGAACAACATCAAGCTTAGTGCAACCACTATTGAATAATATTCCTCGCTCACAATTAAATAGCTCACAATCAATTAAATAGTTCAGGTAATTAAATAGCTCTCTTCGCATTTTTTGCTACAATATATGACAGCGTGTTGAAAAAACAAGGTTACTACAGAAGAAAAGGAGAAGTAGACATTGAAAAGTAGGGATGCATTTTGAGAGCGGATGTTATATTTGCTTTTATTGTTTGCATGAACTATTTTGTTTACATGAACTATTTTTATGTGAGCTTAAATGGAATGATTGAAGGTGAAACTAGATGATCAACGATGCGATAGCCCAATCAGTTGTTGTGTTAGTCATCGTTCATCAATCAGCATGGATTCGGGATGCATTTCGGTATCATCTGACCCAAGGTAAGGCGTGATAATGATCATCAAAGCTTCTATTGCACGATTTTCCAACTATTCACCTTCATCTTTTGTTCCATTTTGACGCAATTGTAATTGCAAATAATGTCGTTTGATAAATTAAAAAAAACGATTTTTCAAAGTTCTTTTGATATTTTCATATGGCAATCATTAAATTGTTTGTTGCAAAATGAAATTTCACTTGCAGTAGTCATTCATCGATGTCGTATAGTACTTATAGAAAGTTATCTGTAGAGGAGCGATGCAAGCAGCTCGAGGAAAGCCCAACAAATGATGGACACCACCGAATTGTTGTAAGTTTTTCTTTCTCAAAATTATGAAATTTGTGGATTGCTAAGAAAACGAAAATTTTATCTATTGCATAAAGACAGAGGATTTCAAATGATGATGAAAAACCGCAAAGTTATAACATAAATCTGATTGCTGAAAGAATGTAACTTGACGAAATGATCTAAACGTTCAGGATATCTGTATATAGCATCACTGAAAAATTTGTACTTCATCTGAATCAGTGGACCAGTCGACCAAATCAAATGGAATACAGTCATTTGAAATTAAATTAAGGCGACAGCAATTGAGAGTACAACGGCATTACGTTGTCCTGAAACAAAACGATATCCAAGGAATTGTCAACGACCAAAATCGATGTGTTGTGCAGCATTTCCTGACGAAAGCAACACTCTTTTGGTGGATTCTCGTTCATTTTCACAAATTACTCCACCACCAATTCATCGCAACTTTACAGCTGTTACACGCTGTGAAAGTTTACAAGTGAGAATTAATCTCCCAATCATTGGCTGTACATATAAAAGTTTTGCCTCGAGCCAAAATATTTCCAAGCAATGGCGACATATACGGCTGAATGTGAAATGGAAATGATCACGGCTATAAAGCTGGACTGAAATCAATACTACAACGAAGACGATTGTTTTTGTACCATTAGAGTCACCATTTAAAGTTTAAATGACCAATCTTGCTGACAATGGAATGGTTCGAAATGCACTTCTTGTTTAGACAAGAACAACACCTTATTCACCGCGAAACTGTTTCAACGCGCGACTCGCAGTCGTCAAAGACCTGCCGATGTCACCAGTTCGAGTTGCCGTCGGTCAATCTCCTATGTTACAAACAAAACCAACATTGTACATTTCTCAAGAACCGTCATCTCCTCCTCATACCCGCATTCGTAATCCACAGGTTAAAAATGTTTTTTGAAAAACCTCCGGCACACATTAAAAATTGCTACATATTACGAAGATTGTTCGAATAGATGCTGAATGACAAGAATCTCTTTTCAAAACTTCATTATTTAACAACAACGAGAGTTATTCTATCAATTTTTCTTCTTATGTCTAGAAACCGTCACAAATGGAGTCATGTCTTCTTCCAAAAGCTGAACCTCAGCAGTCTGTATTCCATGCGAGCCGTGTTTTTGTCGAGCGATCACCGCGTGATACCCGTCAAAGAGTGGAATCGATGGAGAAGGTTGATTCAGACGAGGACAGCACTCACGTTGCACAGCCAGCAATTGTAGTTAGCAGGTATTAAACAATATCGTTGAACGAGGATACTTTCTGTTCAAGTCCACACTGTTGATGTTCGTAATCATCAATTTTTATAAAGTCAACTACTTCATATGTAGGCAACAAAGTTATGCACAATCAAGCGAAAGCTGTCAGTTTGAGTCAAGGGAAGTCTATGTTGTCGACTCATCAGACCCGAACTCGTTTATCCCCTCACAGCATCATCAATTGAAACGGTTTATTTTCTTCTATTTTTTCAACAACCAGTCATCAATTTAGCCGCATCAAAACAGCGCTCAGTGATATTTATCAAAAANAAAAATATAAACAAAACAGAAGCAATACATTTGTTCAATCAGTAAAGTGTAACGATTCAAGAAATGGACATCCCATTATTCATTTTTTATTTTCAGTTGCGAAAGTTCCGAAACAACGATGGCTGAACGAACACGTCGACGAGTCACTCCAGAAAAAGAATGGAAAGAATCTGAAGGATTATAAGACCTTCCCTAAAGTAATTTTGATGTGAACAATTCGGTAAAGCATATATAATCAAACAATCTAAATGCTATTGTTATCTGTACATTGCTCATCGAGTATTTTAGCATAATAATCCAGGTTTCTGGAACAGTTTCACACGTTAGCGCAGCATTAATACGTCTATGAAATATAAACCTTTCACAATATACCTACCAATACAAAATGTATGACACACACTTTACATTTTATCATTGATCCCTCTACATGATCAAATACGATTGCATGAAAATTTCTTGAGCAATTTTTGAATGTCGTATTGTTGCTTTCATAATTTCAAAGCAACAGATTCGCTTTTGATGTACAGCAGAATATTCTAGTGTCGATGGAAAGTTGCATACACCAGAGTTTGAATTATATTGGTGGTGGATGAGATGTTGCAGTTAGCCTTGATATGAGCACCTTTTATCTTGAAATCTGCATGAACTCAAACAGTGAATCAGTTCTAATGTTATCGTAGTTGAACCACTGAAATGCACACAACAGTGTAATAGAAGATAAAAATTGATAATGAATAATAATATGAAGAAACGGCGGTGGAAAGGTGCAGAGCACTATTTCCAAATGGAATTCTCGCCAGTCGTAAAATTTCCTTCGTTATGCCTTCGTCGTATATGATCGTACAAAAAGGAACTTCGCAAAAAGAGCTTATCACATTTGCCGCACTGAAAACAGGTGAAAAATGTAGTAAATGAATGATTTATAAAGGTGATATTTTGCAACGAATAAATTGATCTTGGTTTTGAATGCAGCAGTCACATAACAAGCCCTGAGTTCATTTTTGTTTTGGATTTAATTTGTTGATATTGACAAACATAAGCGCACACATAATTGACTGAAAACGGCAAACGGTAATTGATCAAAACAAGCAACTAGTAATGAAGAAAACCTTAAACAAAGAATCGACTTTTTCCGGAACATTACTTATTTCCATACGCAATTTTGTATTTTCGAATTCAGCTTCTTTGCGCTGTCTCTCTAATTCGTCAATTTTGTTCGTCAATTCTGCTTGAGACTTCTGCAATACAAAATGTACTTCAATGCAAAAAATTAGATATTATTAACTTTCGCTTAATTTTTGTCGGATTAGATCATACTTATTCTAGCTATCAATTCCATACTCTTATCACATTCTATAAAGTTTAAAAAGGCTACTTCAGTAATACATAAAATATCCGTTACAAATTGCAAATTATCTCATTCAAAATTGAATGTCACTATGCACAACCAAACAAATTCATTGCTGGTCATGAATGAGAAATTTTTTGAAGCTATTTTTCTGCTTACAATTAGAAGCCATAAAAATGCAAATCGTTCACTTGCTTAGACCAATTTCTAGTTCATTCTCTCAAACAACACTAGCTTCACAATATGAGTGATACGGTATTAAACATTCGAAAATGAATTACTAAAATATATTCGATCTGCATTTGCGCTATTCGAAATATTTTCAGAAGACGTTCTGGTGTGCACTCATCGTTCTGAAATGCAATCAATTATCTTCTAATATCAATTTTATGAACTATTAAATAGAATGCTAAACCAAAAGTAGTTTGCAAAGCTCAAGAGCCATCTAACATAGTTGTGTATGTATTAAACCAGCACCTCATCAAATTACTTTGTGGATGAACATTCCACAGCTTTCACCTATGCCCTAATTGTAAGGTCATGCTTGAAAATACTTGATTAACTTTTGCTTACTAACCAGTTCTTCAAGACGACACAAAACGATAGACGGCAATGACCGTTGTAGTACATCGAAACTACCGACGCCCTCTTCAAGGAGCTGTATGCTGATTTCATCTTTAAATGAATAAGTATGCTTTATGTATTGTAATACATTCCAAATTCTGTTTGTTTACTTCTTTTTTTTAAACAATACGCAAAACTTAGTGGTCTCATCGAGTTGCGAATTCATGAATTATGCAAAGGGATTGATTGATTGATCTAAAATTTATCCTCTCTAGTTAAAACACGCACTTCATCGGCATGAATTAATCGAAGGTTGTCGCGCTAAAATAGAAATGGGCATTTGCTTGAGAGGGGTTAGTTGGAATTTGATCAATTTTGAACGGTGATTTCAAATTTGCTTCATTGACGAATTACAGTGATCGAGCACAATGGAAAAGTTAGTTGATAGTAATTGAAATGAATAAATAAATCAACATTTTCATATATTTTAACGTAGACAAAAGATTTGTTCAAAGCTGATATAAGATTTTTTGGGGTGGGGAACAATTAGGCTGACTGTAACAAGAAGAAGACGAAGCCTAAGCGGAAGTATCTATTAGCGACCATCTTTGTAATCTGAAAATGAGGGAAAGGAGGGTTGGATTCATTTTCCCCATCTCCTCCTCTTCCTACCTATGCAACTTTTTTGCATCATTGGTCTTCAGATTGTTTGGAACAATTGTGCTACTTCATATCAATGTCAAAACGAGTGAAATGTGTGTGGTCTGGCATTCCATAAAAATAAACATTTCGATAATCAATCACCATTTGAGGTCAGTCAGAAGCTGTTGGGGATAAAGCAAACTGATAATGTGAACACATTCTCAGTCTCTACGATTTGCAATCATTCAGCTCTTTAATGACTTGCTAACATATTTATCGTTCCTTTCGAAAATTCCATCAAGGACTTATCATTCTTGTACTATGGGTATTGCAAGCTCAATTTTACTCCGTTTCATTCAGTCATCACTCCTTTGACAGACGCTTTTCACACATGTGATGATATATTTACGCAGTCGACGTATCGTCGAATTCATTCGCAAGTTCTATCCAGCAAAATAAATGTCTTTCAGAAGAGAGAGAAGGGCGGTGAGAGATATGATGAACAAAAACTGCTTTTTACAGTAAAAAAAAGATTTATTTGCAACAAAAATGCCGAATTTCTTGTTTCAGGTTGATCTTATTTCAGTCCAACATAATTATCATTCGATGGTTAGCAGTTTCGAAGAATTAATCTGTATTCAATAAAGGTTTTGTCTAAGCTCTCTTCCTAGTTTCTCGATGACGTGGTTGTATTATGCGTTGTTCACTGTGGTTCTATAATAAACAGAATAAGTTTAACAACAAAAAAAAACTAACCGATAAGCTTCCAGTCGGGGTAGTGTTTATTGACCATTCTTGGTAGACAACACGTTGTGCAATCACAGTTTTGCATAAGCGTTAAGAGAATGAATGCTATTTATATGATTATTCGTTGTCATGGTAACTTGTCATTCAAAAACGATTTACTATACAAGCAGGTCGCGTGTGATCATCGCTAGAGTGAAGTGTGCAACAGAGCAGTGAGGATCAAGGATGTTGGGATTGGGCTTGATAAAATGAGAGGAACATTTATGTTCAGTGCACGTTCTCCATTACCACTCGTAGGAAAATTTTGTTTGCGAAGTGAAAGTTGAAAACAATCAATTGAATATTTACAGTCGATGCTTGAAGCTTCACGATTGTCAAGCAGTAATTTGATAGATTTTCATTGATCACGTTGAATGGTTCATGATTAATTATTACCCAAAACGACTTCCTTCAAATCACAAAATTTTTCAAGTAGCAGCGCTACTATCGTGAAATTTCGAGAAGTCATCATTCTGAGATTAAGGATAATTGTGCAACTGAAAGTGATAGATGCCAAAAAAGCATCCGTAGTTAACAATCCAAATGCATGATGATCTATTTGCATCAATAATCTATAGACAGAAAACGCTTATAGTTTGATAATGCATTTCGTTTATGGTCAACGAGTGGAATTGGCTTTAGGTTGAACTATGCATTCTTAACAGCGTGTCCTCACTCCGGCAATAGCATTGCTCTTTAACTGCTTGATAACCGAATATTGGAGCATCAAAAGGGAAAAGTCAAAAACCAACACACAAAATTGCAATCAAAAGTGCAGTACGCAAACGTTATAACGCTGTGCTTTTTTGTATGGCTTTCAGCAAGCTTCCTCTGATTGAATGCATAAGCTCGTTGAGTATTGTACTGTCATTCTTTAGCGAATGAAAACAATGACAATCAGTTCCTGAACGTTATTTCACTGATGAGCATAAAGCAACCATTTTACAAACCAATTCACTATCCATCTGAATTCGCCAAAAGTCATCGGTTCCATCTTCTGACCCTCATCACCACTTTCAACTTGACAATCCGTATTGCAACCTAATCAGTATTATATCCTCTGCAGTCATAAAAGCAGCTGTGTTATTCAAACGCTTTGTCATCGAGACAGCAAGTCAGAAGCGAATTGCTCACAATAGGATTGTGCATAACGAGACTTGTATAAACACGTATTTAATATAGAATATATTAGGTGTATTCTAAAATAAGTGAATTTATGCGAGTATTTATGTATGTGTGTGTTTGTTCGATGACATTGTGGTCAGGTTGAGGTGCTGTTGCGGTGATGCAATAAATACTGTGCAAACAAATTGCGTAAAGGGTGCCGCCTGGCTCGAAGTGCCATACCCTACACCGATTCAAACGAAA